CTTATTCGTTGGAAACATTGGTGGAAGATTTGCCGGTCTCGGTGCTAAATAAATAGAAATGACAAAGATCATCCCTCGATCTTTTGAAGATAACTGTTGCAATGAGTACGGAAAGAAAAGTGCTCTGTATCGATTTTATCGAGTCTACGTGAAAAATAAAACATGCTTGTAAGACTGAAGCCGTATTTGTTTGTTATCAAAAATCGAACCGAGCAACAGTAGGTGTGCCAACTCTATGAGAAGAGAATTAGACATTTTATCGCGACTGCAACGAGACAGCAAATTTTCGACCCATCGATTTGTTTGAAGGGAGAAAAAAAAGAAGAAAATATAAATCACTTATTCCATTAATAGTTACTAACCATATTTATCTCATATCTATTACTAAATAAATCAAAAAGATCATGATCGCGCTAACTCTTTCGGAGCATAAAATTGAAGAAAAATGCGAGGGATCCTATCGAAATTCATTTGATAGGTTCTATTCCTATCCGAATAGCAAATTATTCCGAAATAATATAAATATTTTTTGTTCCTTCCTTGTCGAAAAATTTCCTAAATTTCCCTTCATCCACCCAACAAATCGCCAAGACAGACGATTTTACGGTAACAGACGCTTCAAATCTTCCTGTTAGATCGCATTCCCTAGCTATGTAGAAAAGAACTAATTCCTTTTCTTTCGGAATCCTATATGTCCGATACTTAGAGACCATGCCTCTCGTTCTCTTTTCTCGTTGTAACATTAATAGGTGCGTCTCAACATTTAACTCGAAGCATTTGAGAATTTTTTCAAGTGTCTTTTGTATGATTAATAATGGCCATTTTAGGTGGTATAGTGAGACCAGTGAGACCAAGTCTTCCAATCAGGAGGGTTATATTCAAGGTGGACAGACCTTTCCATTTCGTGATAAAATCCACAAACAACAATTTGTCGCTTTTCATTGGTACCGCGAGCGAATTTAAGCCAGGAAAGGAATAGACATTTTCTTTCATTCGCAAATTAATTGAAACAAATTATAGAGTCTATTCTTATACTATCGAGGAGAACAAACGTTGGGGAAAAAAAAGAAGAGCGGGAGCTGACAACGGGGTTTATAGATAAAAACAAAGGGAAATAAAATAAATAAATAAAAATTAAATATGAAAAGAAAAAGAAAAAGAGGCGAAAAAAGAAAACGCCATTCAGATTCTTTGATTCTAATTAATCATTCCTTTTTCTGTAAAATTGTTACGTTTGCACGAACTAACTTATTGCATGATTACCGAACTAATCGTGTTTCCTATAACAAAGAGTCTACGAAAATCGAAATCTATTAGCGATCAAACGTCTCTGTAAGCACACTGTCGCATGGATAAGAGTTGATACAATAAGAATTGACACAAGAAAGTGTGTCGAGACGGATTTATGCGTGAAACGTTCTTAGACATATGGGCATGAAGATGAACAAATAATCTCGACAAGGTCTAAAGATCGTGGTTAAAAGAAGCCGACGATCCCAAAGGCGAATAATCACTTTTCATTTGAGGAGGTATCGTTAAAACCGAGGTATTATCGAATAAAAGATTAGAAATGTTAGCCGCACGCGTGGTCGATCCGACGAAAATGAATCTGTAATAAAAACATACTTCTCTGATAATACCTTGCCGAATGAACATACATCTAACAGAGTATTAAATCGTATTATTGCGTCACGTTTAAAGCTCTTATTATATCTATCAACTTGATTCGAAATAACTCGTATATTTTGCTATGCTGTAAAAAGGATCAAATCCTTGCGACAAACGTTGAATCGAATAAATATTATTAATGGGAAATTATTGAAAATAAATCATCATCGTCAGGAAGAATATATGTTTGCGATCGTCCTTTCAATTTGTTCACAATTCCAATAGATTCGAAAATTCTTTGGTGTTTTACTATTAACCATCTATTATTATATCCTTCCGAATGCATCCTTATCTAAAAGAAGATCTCTAATAATGTGTACGATAATGATAATCATCGCTATATGATGTGCGATAATAATAACGTCGCTTGAAAATCATTCGACGAACCAAAGAATACGATTGAAGGGTGATAAAAACACTCGTGTATCTCTATGATCGATTGCGGTGTTCTTCGATCCGCGCATTTATCCAAATCGAAAACAGTTTTTCGCATCGAACATTTAGTTTTGAGCATCATTAGGAGCAATCTTATAAATAAGGAGGAATCCTAAGATCCCGAGATAAGATCGAAATCGTTCGTGGGCCGCATAATCGATCGATCCAAGCGGTAAAAAAAAAGAAACTTCACCGAAAAGAAGAAGATCTAATTTAATAACATGTCGAAAGACGCTTAACCAATTCCATAAGGATTATCTCTTTTTTCCAATCTTTTCCCTCGTCCCTGTCGCTTTCTAACTTTTGTTAAAGTTCAATATTATTAATGTACGAATCCTCAAGCTGAAAAATTTCCCCCGGATCCGCTTATAAATATTCTCTTTATCGTTATGTAACTCGCTAGCTTCTATGATGGTCGAGTTTTAGTGAAAGAATTCAGGATTTCTATTGAAATTTCAATCGTCCCAATGGAAAATTTGTTTCAGGAGTATTCGTGGAATTAGCGAGTATATCGATCCAATTAGACGTTATGATCGATCATCCATTTTTCTATAGTATCGTCCGTCTAGAAGATCGAAGAAACAATATGACCATGATGCCATTATTCGAGGGACACGTCACCAATCCTAAAGCTTAATCTTTTAATATTACATGAAAGTACTTATGAAAGCTCTGACATTATTTCTTACAAATGATTTATTTATATCATATGATAAGGCTAAATTAAATATATTTATATACACATTTATTAACATAATCTCACATCGACTTTTTTCTTTTTCTTTTCTCCATTATCCAATTATCGTCCTTCTTAACATCTCGTATATATCTATGGATTTGTATTGTACGTCTATTGTAACTCTAACTTTTAATTTGTTATCTCGTTCTGTCCGCTCACGATTTCTATTCATACCATAATTAGACAATATTAATGAAGAGATACATTTAAATGTGCTTTTATGTGCTTTCCTCCGACTGAATCCTCTGTTACAGCGCTACTCCTGAAGACTGCTATCGTCAAACCTGATTTTATCGTCGATCATCCATTTTTCTATGCTATCGTTAAAGTAACCGAAAACTGCGGAAAAGAATCCGACGATCCAGTACCCTTATTCTTTTTAGGTCATGTAGTCCGGCCGAAGAGTTAATCTTTACAACTATTATTATGAATCATTCCAATTGTAACCTATTAATAAAACAATATATTCGCTTTTACCTAATCTCAATTGTTAGAAGAGACATTCACATTTCTTATCGTTTCTTCTTTATATCGTGTATATCATGTGTATTTATATTTATGATTAAATAATAAATATAATTTTATACATACAGGATGGGGTAAAAACTTTATTCATCTAAAATATTTCCGTTATATGTAATAATATAATATATATATATGTATACATATAATTTGAGCGATATGATTGTGACGTTGATGGGATGATTAACAATTAATTTCCACCTCTATAAATTTATTTCAGTTTGATAATGTAATTTCTACAGACTGAATCTAAGCCTCAACTTGCCAGAGCGATGACTCTGCACTACGTGACTGATCCGTGTTCGATTTGTGCTCGTCAAATATACTTGTTCTATGCAGAGTGGTATATATTTGTTCTTAATGTACATATGTGTAACGCACGAATTAAGATATAAGCTGCTTTCACGCAATATTCTAATCGCGCTTGGATACATGCTTGGGTGCCTGCATATTGTTGTTCAGTTATCTAAACTGGAAAAATTCCAAATTTTTAGGTTTGCTATTGCTTAAATCTCAATAAACGTAGATAACACGCTACAAGGTCATCTCTCTCTCTCTCTCTCTCCCCCTTTTTTTGCTGTGTGATATAAATTACCGCAGCGTTTACTGTAATAAGTTCAGAGATCATAGGACATGCTCATGATTCAGCAATAAAAAGATTGCAATGTTGCAACAATAGAAATGATCAGCACTTTCAACATCTGTACGAAAGCTTGATTTTACCATTATATTTAATCTTGAATGACTTCTAATGCTGACAACAATACCGACAACAACGATTATCAGATAATGATAAAAACAAATATAACATCCCGTTAAAAAAGAAAAAAAAGAAAACCTTGAAAAAAAACTCTCTTCCTCAAGTCTTCACTCGCATAAAAAATATTTATATCACATTATATTCCTTCAAGCTTCTCGTATATAACTTATTTCCATACTTTTAGAAATAACGGAAATACTTTGCCTCTAGACCAAAGTTTTCGTATGTATGTGTGTGTGTGTGTATGCTCGCGCCCACATAAATGCATAAACATATATGTTCTCGTCGAACCCATTGCATAAAATCAAATTATACTTAACACGCCTCTCAATGTTTTAATACTCGATTATCTATAAATAAATAGATCGCACGTTCACGCATAGTTATATCATTCATTTAACTGACTTTATATGAAATTAATATAGTTTTAATCTGAACATCATTTGCCATGATTTTGTTGCAGGAGTGAGCCTAGTTCCATTTTCTTTGATCATTCCTGTAGGATTTGAGATTGATCGTCCATTCTACTACAGCATCATAAAGAAAATATCAGGCGCAGATGAAGCCAAACAGAGAGCCATCGTCTCTTTATTTAGCGGTCATGTAGTAGAGCCTAATAATTGATTGATCTTATTAATGAAGAATATGTCTACAATATCTCTTTTGTAGTTAAACGCATGTACAGAGAAGAATTCAAGAGACGTAAATAAAAAGATTCTTATGAAAAAAAAAAAAAAGAAAAGAAAAAAAAACAAGTGAATGCATAATAGAGAATTATTTGAATAAGACTATTTATATTTTATCGGCGAAAGAAACTAATGTAACAGGTAATATTGTAGAAATGAAAATGAAAGACCGACATTCAAATTCGTCATTTTGCCGGGAACGCGCAACCGCGCACTCTACCGGTAACACGTAAAGTTATAATTATACGGCAATAAGACACGAGGTATAATATATTCTTTCCCTTGATGGGCAGTTGCCACGACAGAATTCTTAAGTCAAAGTATGATTTTATCAATATGGACTAATCTACTGTTTATAAATCGGATCGATTTGAAATAAGTACGTATTAATCGTCAAAAAAAAACTATTCAAAATATAATGGAGTTGTTTAATACGTCTATTTAAATATCTGTATTGACATTATTATATCGATGTATACTACTGTCGTATGTATACTTTGCGAAGATTTCATTAATTTTTATATTTCTTTTATTTGGACAAATACAAAGTCGAAATTCAAAGGGGGCATTAGTACGTAGAAAGAAAAGTATTATGATTGATTGTTCGACTATTTTACGTATTTGTTTAAATATCATTTGTGTGAAATAGAGAATATATCATTATGGCATTACCATCTTCACGCAACCCAAACACGATATCATGGAGTGGTGGCCGATCGCGGGGAAGAGTAAAGGTAGCTGAGGTTCCATTAAGAAGACCAGGAGAAAATCCATCCAGCAAATATAATCAATTCGTGTGCGATGACATTATAGAGAGAATAAATAATCTTGGTATAAATGAATTGATACCAGCAGAACAAATAAATGATATAGTTCATCTTGTTCATACTACAAAGGATGAAGAAACTTTAAAGTATTATTTTTAGTTTTATATTTAAAACAATATTCTCTTTCTTTCTTTCTCTTAATTAAAGATAGAACGCTTTAGGTTCATGTTTGACATGCTATATAAACGTGCTTTGGAAGATAAAATCTTTGGCATAAAGTTAGCGAGTTTATTCAGCGATGTTACATTCTTTACCATCGAGGTTAATAAGAACCAAACTATGCGATATCTATTGCTGAGCACTTTGCAAAATGATTACAAGAGTGCGTCCCTTATTCAAATTTTACATTTACATATTCTATTTTATTTTAAAACTATAAAGCCAATACAAAATAAATGGACGTTATTTTACAGGAAAAAAAGAAATAAGAGAAGAAAGTGCTACGTTATTTCGTAACGTTGTTTCTTTACTCGGAGAGATTTATTATCAAATGACGCTAATAACGGGTAAACCTTTAAGAATATTGGAATTACCATTGCTCGATTATTGGAGCATGTTATTAGAAACCGCAACCGAGGAAGACATCGAGCTTGTTGCTACGCAGGTTTTATCGTCGTTCACTTTTATTTCCACCAAAAGTTGCATTAAATTATATCAATTATATTATTAGAGGATATAATATAGTTTTACATTTTAGATTATTATTAATGGTAAAGGAATGTATAAAAGACCGGAATTGGATGAATTTATGTTAAATGTAAGAGAAACTCTTAGTAGAAATAATACCTTATCGTACGCAGCCAAGGGAATGTTGTTATTGATCATTGATTTGGCTAATCAACAATTTAATTCACTCCCTGTAAATTTGTACGATTATTATACGTCTCATCTTGGTACGAAAGTTTTGATATATTTACAAAGGCACAACAAGGATCTTACTAATGCTGGAAATAACGAAGGTAATATTTAATGAATTATATCTGCCCTTTTATGTTGGTCGTATTTTAATTAAAGTAATCATTTGATTTTCTATTAGATTTAAAAATTGTAAAAAGTTTGGAAGAAAATAAAAATGATACGAATCAAGAATCCGAGCTAGGTAGTACCTCGATGGTACAGTCTAAACAGAAAGCATCGTTTAAGGATGAAAATTGTGAACAAACAGATTATGCGGTAATGAATACCGATAAAAAGAATTTTACAACAGAAAATACTGTTCCAAGAGCGATACGAGGGCCTGGGGCTAATAATACTAAGAAGAACTTTAAAAGTAACTCCAAACCTTTCACAAATCCAATATCACCTAAGCCCGGTAATAGGAACAAAGGATGGGAACACGACGATCGATTTGAAGATGCTTATGATTAATAATATAAATGATGAACATTTAGTTCGTACGCAGTGCTGTATTATATATAAATGAACGTATGTGTGTAACTGGCGATCAAAAATGTGAAATAATTGAAAATAATTGTATTAGAAAATTAAAGCCTTTTTCAAGATTCACGCAATTCTTCTTTGACGAATAGAAAATTCGCTTTGTTCATAGATAAATGGGCAAAACTGCCTTTGATAATATTTTTCTCTAAAAACATGAAATTTTTATTAAATACACAATTTTTTAAATAATCTCCAATTCCTTTAATCTATACCTCTTTAGATTTTACTTCTTATTTCTCATTTCATGCAAGTTGTTATTCTAAGTTAAATGATTTATCACGGTGTTAAATATATACTCAAAGTCAAACATGAGATATTATTTTAATAGTTAATATTTCGCATAATGTTTCAATTTTTAAATTAACGCAATTATATATGATTATAATATTGGATCCTACAGGAAGTAGGTGTTTTAAAGTGACATCATTAGTTCCATGACCAACAAAAATCGAAACTGTGAATGTATGTATTTGTAGTAAAACGAAGTTATATAGATTTAATTTAACCTTAATTTTTTTATTTCTACTTGTACAACACATATGTATGTTCACGCACGCACGCCATATCAATAACAATGGAGATATTTGGGCTTACTTTGACCGGTTACGGCAATTATTTTCCCGAAACATTAAACAAAGGTAAAATCTGCAAAATTTACGCTTTTCTCTTTTATATTATATCATATTAATATCTACTACTAAAACCAATTGTTGTTGTTTATAGACAGATTTTCTATCATCACGATGATGAAATTATTAATATATATAATGAAATTTGTAGATTATAAAGAACCAGTTGTATTGCCGAATATTAAAGAAATTCTAGAAGAACGTTTACGTCTTAATAAAAATCGGAGTTTCAGCGAAGTTTATAACAAGCTTGATCCGATTCTTGGTACTACCGATGGCTTTTCATACGGAAGTAACAAGCGCATATATTTGCAAAGAAAGAAAGGTTTATGGAAACCAGTTGGACCGACGGATATCTATAGAATACCAACGACGAGAGCGCAAGAGATCGGATTTTGGACAGTGGATTCTTTATTATCTGAAGCAAATTGGTTCAAGTCGACAAAAAATTACGGCAAAAGATACAGCGAAATAACAAAGTATGTTGCATCCGTAATATCTACGTATGTACGAATAATAATAATATTTAGAAGAAGAAAAAGAATAATAACGTAACTCTAACTTTTATAGAACATTTCACAAATTAAGGCTCGCTGATCCATTGATACCTCTTTAGATAAATTTCATCGCATAAATTTCGTCAAAGATCTCTCTCTCTCTCTCTCTCGACTCGCAGAAAAAACTAAATCAATATCGATGTCAAAATATCATATTCGTCGATTTAAATCTTACATAGAACGTAATTCCAAATGATATTAATTTTATAAAGAATTTTTTTGTCAAAAAATATTATTTATCCGTTTATTTTATCTTACATATGTACGTATATACATGGACATAAATATATGTACACAATATAGGACAATTTTATTAGAAAATAACACACATTATAGATGTCTTCCACAATTTATTTTATAAAAACATGGAAACTACATGTGTTGCACATAGTTGGATCAAATTTTGGATATTATTTTGTTGTTGGAGATGTTGCTCTAAGAATGGCTCGGCTCTAAATCGTGTTCATTTCCACAGTTATATTAAGACGTTTTTATTTGCGCGCGCGACGACGCACAGCAATGGTGGTCAGCAGGCACACGCGCATATCTATGTACATGCGCATATGCATATTATACTCGCGCATGCTTACCTTAACACCGTTGCAATCGTCATACATACACATCATCAAACATACGTACACACACACATACGCACACATACGCACACACGCACACGCGCGCTCACGCACGCACGCACACACACACACAAATTGATTTTTTTGCAAATGTGTTTTTATGCGTCAATCTCATTCTTTTCGTTGTCGTTCTTTCTCGCGAGCGAGCGCTGTGGTATAGTCGTATGGGGAACCTTTACTGTAACAAGAAAATTCATTTAGAGATACATTGATAGGTGAAAATACGTATTTTCTAAAATTACCTCCTTCGGCGTCGATCCTTGTCACGATGACGGTCCCTACTCCGATCTCTATACGATCTATCTCTACTACGACTTCTGTAATCTCTCGATCGTCGAGTTCTATCGCGACTACTCGAATGCCTAAAGTATCCTCCTTCCCTCTCACGATCTCGTTCACGAGCTCTATCCCTTTCTCGTTCTCGAACTCTGTCTCTATCCGCGTCCCGTTCTCTCTCTCGTTCTCTGTATTTGTCCTTACGATCTTCGTCAGACCTGTAACACGATACGTTCGAGGGGAAGTACTGATGCAAGTGCACTAATCATCCTTCAAATTTCACAATACTTTCTAATTCTTTACTTTTATTTCCTAACTTCTAGTAAATTTACCATTGATCGGCTATTTTTCTTTTTCATTTTCAAAAGGAAATAATAATAAAATAAATAATAATAAAGGATTAATGTAACACCGTAAAGGTATTTATAAGCAATTCATAAGATATCTCAAAGATAGTGTTTCACTAGTTGAATTTATTATCTACTAATAATTAGTAACGTGATTGTATTCATACCACGTAGACGCACCTGGCTCGCCAGTGGCTTGCTCTTTCCGCCTCTCCCCATTGAGCTTCGTTGTCTGGGATATGACGTGGTTGCTGATTTCCATTATCTCGTTGACCACTAGTGCTATTATTACTATATTTACCATGACTGTTTAACGTAATAGGCGGTTTTGCATTGCGAGCATTAATAGTTTGTTGCGGAAATCTTTCTGCCAATCGATGCTCTAGTTCCTTTTGTATAGGTACAGGTATTCTTGGAAAGAGCGTGGAAAACCATTCCAATTTCGTTAAAAATTGTTTTAAAATATCACCCATTTTCATTACTTGACCGCCACCCGCCTTTACATCTACCTCTTCTTCATCTTCCAAATAATCACTGTACCAATTGAACAAATCTGCTGGCGGTTGGGTATACCTGTTGTTGAATTAACATTTCAATTAAATAAAAGGCGTAAGAGACAGATAATAATATCCATGATTAAGTTCAATATCGACTCGATTATCCAAACTAATTCGAACTGTATTTAATATGCCGAGGTTACGGATAAAGACAAAAGATGATAACTTTTTATTTCTAATAATTTTAGATGAAAAAAAGAAATTTTTTTTTTTTTTTTTTTTTTTTTTTATTAAATCGTTATCCAAAGAAAGAGGATATCTCTTTTAACAGGTTTAAATTAACTTGGCTCATACCATTCTTATGTCCTCGGCTGGAACGTAACTTATTAGTCGCTCTGTTTTATGATTTCCATAAAATTAAAAGATCTTCGGTACCGATACCTTTGCATCCTTTTAATAACTATTGATATTTGTATTCGGCATAGTATGTCATAGTTGTATCATAATAGAAGGAATAATTGCGACCTACTAATGATAACAGTTCGATTGCAAAAAAAAAACCCCAGAGACATGCATGCTGGATAATCAAGTTTTTATTCCAATTATATATCAAAAATGGCCTACCTGATATACATAAAGCCCAAGGCACGGATATACGGTGAATCCAGATGAATAATTAGACCATTCAATTGCTTCCTGGTTAACCTCAATGTGAACAGTTTAAACAGAAGGCAATAAGCTGTTGAGACGATACCGCCAGCACCTACGCCTCGTACCTGCATGAACCGCTAAATTTACACCCACTATGTCAGTTAATCACGCTCATATTATAATATAACATATCAACCAAGAGCATGCTACTCTGTAATAGGTACTGTATTAAATGCTGCTACAAATTCGAACTTCTTCGTTTTGTTCATTCTTTTCTTGGGCTTTTCCGATGCAATATACATACATACATATATATATTATAGTATCTGATATGTCATATTAAAAATCTGTATGCGATATAACCTGTTTTGAATATCTTTCAATGCAGGTTTTTACCATCAGATTTTGTTTCAATTAATTACACAGGTAGTTTGAAAGACATTAATATACAAAATAAATATATCTTTGTTATAACTTTCGTCTTAATTCAATAGATACCTTAATAACATAAAGTAACAACAACGTTTTGAAAAAAACATACTCACGCCTCCACACATGCCAGTTTGGCCTGCCGTTTTCCTGCTCCCTTTTTCCCATGGTTCCAAATGTGATACTTTATAATAAATTTCATCTATTACTTCGTGATAAGTCTTCAATTCATATAAATTCACTTTAAAGTAATGCGAAGATTGAATGTTTGTCAATATCAACGGATTCAGATTCATGGTTCTTTCGTTACCCCACAATGGTAAGACATTAGACTTTTTACCCTCCTTTTGATTTGATCTCCGCTCTTCTTCGCAACCACTGGAATTGTTCCATGGTGAACCTATATATAAACATAATTTTATAATTTATCTTTCTTCAAATATTTCATTTATAGACTCTAGATCGATTTTCTTAATCGGTACAATAAAGTGAGGTTATGTGCGCCACGAAACATCAAACTGTTTGCAAACGACTTTTGCATTAATATAATAACATTGGACCGTTAACTTACTCGAAAATGATATAATATGCATTTAAAACTATTATATTGAAACGATGAAAGTATTACTTACCGTCTGTACCTTCTACTTCTTGCATATTTGGATTGTGAGACTCTTGGAGTCTCAACTTTTATAACTGCACTTGACTTATGAGTTTTGATCTATACCTAATAAATATAAATTTGTTTTTATAAACAAATAACTTTTTCCCAACAAGTTATCAACACAACAGACTTTATTAGAAACTCTAATAGAATATCCAGCGTGCTAAAGAGAGACAGAGAGGGAGAGGGATGGCGGGAGAGAGGGAGGGGGAGAGAGAGAGAGAGAGAGAGAGAAACTAACGTCAACGCAAAGGCAAACGCAAAGAAAGAAAAAAGAAATAACATGGTATACGCACATGATTGCGTATTCCTACCATGCACTAGTTTTATTTTACTATTTAATGGCAAACCATAATTTATATTATTTATGAAGAAAGAAATTATTATAAAATAGATTTAATCGTTTATGTTTAGTCCAATATTTACTTTAATTCTAAAAAAAATTACCTTGAATGTCTTTTTTCTCACTACGATGTTTCCTCATAAAGCGTTTCAGGAAGTGTAAATCAGCCTTTAAAAAGAGAAATGACCGAAATAGGAATCAAAGATGGCGTCCGTCTTGTGTTTTCCGATAGAGCTACCTATGAGAGATATGTTTTTCGATAAATATGTCTCGTTTCTTCCCCCCCCCCCCGCCCCGACTCTCTCTTATGTCTTATGTCAATTTAGATATTTTATTTGAAATTTTTCTTTTGGTAATTTATATAAATTACCATTCGATGCTAGGAAAATTTCATTCAATTCGGAATTTCAGTAGAAATTTATTTACTTATGAAAAATGACAAAAAACAATAGTTATTTCAAATTGTTCTAAAAAGTTTTGTCATAAGAGTATGAAAGAATATTTAGTTTCACAATTTTTAATCGTAAAAAATGTCATTGTAATAAAGGTTGTATTAGTAGTTTATAGGTAGTTAATAGGTAATTGCAATAAATTATTACTATTAATTCTTTTTTTTTTTTTTTCTTTTCTTACAATATAACGATGCTATAAATATATTATTATATAACAATCAATTTACACGTTCGCCACATTGATTCTCTATATAATCGGTAGCAGCACGTTGTACATGCTCTACATCTTCTGGTGTACCATGCTTCTCTTCAAAGGAAATGAATTTCTTAAAAAGTACTTTCATCTTTTTTGGCGGTAAATTTTGAACAATTGCTCTCTCCAACACTTTTCTGTAAGTATATCAAATCCAACATATAAATATACGAATATTTTTATACTCTTTAGATTTTTTTTTTTTTTTTAATTTTAAAAGAGAACAATGTTTTACCTTGCAATAGAAATTTCTTCTGACTTTACCAAAGAATCTACATAAGATGACCATATGTCAACGCGTTTGGGATATGAACTTAAAATTTGTTCAAACAATGTTTGCGATCTTTCCTTTTCTCCAAATTGATTTTCAAGATTTGCGAAACGTAACATTATATTCACATCTAAACATAAAAATGTAAAATAAAAAATTGGATTAAATGTTACAAGCAAATTTAATGTAAACCATTTAATGATTACTTACGTTCTGACGATGGCAAAGATTGTAGAGCACGTTGCATTACCTGTCTAGATTTATCTTTCAAGCCAAGTTTTAATAAAGCACCACCACATTCCAGCCACACTTTCGGATTTTGTTTAAATTTTCCGATGAAAGTATTAACTAATTTCTCTAATTCGAATTGTCGTCCTGTTTCACTATACACCGTTAACATGTGCGTATAGACTTTTAATGCGTCGTTAGTTCTTACGGCCTCTTGAAAAACATCATTGAGAGCTTCAGGCGTACCAAATTTCGATTCTAAATTCAACCACGCGTTCCATACATTTAATTTTTCATTTTCTTCCCTAAAATTTATCGTTTTAATGGCTCTTCTGGCAATTGCTCTTGCCTTTTCTACTTCCGTCGCTTGTAAATGATAAGCCATATATTGCAACCAAACTAAGGAGCTATCGGGACTTGCCAATACCAATCTATCAAACTGATCTACCGAGTTTGGCATTCGATTGCTTGCCAAAGCCTCTTCGCGTTCTCTAATTTCACGTTCCTTTTGTCGTTCTCGTTCTCTACGCTGGGCCGCACTTAATTTTTTCACCTTCGATTTTTTCTCTTGCTCCTCGACGTCGTCTTCGCTGTCGCTAGATGTTTGAATATCAGCTACTAATCTTGCGTCTGGCATAGTATCCCAATAAAAACCACATTGAGGTATACCAAGTACATTTCTATCGATTACTTTCTCATTATCTCTTTTATCTTGATTATTTTTATCAATGTTATTATCATCCTTTGGATTTTCTTCATTCCCAAATTCAATCTCGGTTTGACTTATGCCATTAAGATTTTGGATTTTCTTTTTTAATTTTTTCTTTTTGCACGTGACAGATTCTTCCTCGAGCTTTCTCTTTCGAGGTAATTGATCTCCATTAAATCGCTCAATACAACAATTCGCATTGTAGAAAGAATTTTTCTTTGGATAATTTTGCATCTTCATCCGCTCCTCTCCATTAATACTTATTGATTTTCTTTTCAACGTACCTTGTTGTTGTTGGTTTCGTATTACTTTAGATAAAGCGGCTTTTCTTGACACTTCAAATGCTGATTTTAACATGCAGATCGGCATAATATCAGATTCGTGTTTATTTAAGATGGCATAACATCTAATGCGAGATAAAAATATATAGGGCCTTGAGTCAGGCCGTAAGTCATTCACATGACGACGAACTGGTAAAGCAGCCAACGTGCCTTTCCCTTTACCCTTCAATACAACTAAAATGAACCATTGTGAAACCATCACAATTTCTCCGCGCAATAAAGTTTTGGCGGGTAGTTGAACGTTTTGTTTGGAATTAATCTTATGTACAATACTAGGTAATAATGTAACTTCAACGAATTCATGGACATAATTGATCCATAAAATTTTTCCCGATACCTCATCTCCCACTTTTACATTTCCACTGTAATGATCTTTACGTACCGTACCTTCCAAATTCTTTTCTAACTTTAATACAAGACCATGGCTCGTAATTTTATCAATTCTTCCAGTAACGACCTGTCCGATGCTCGCATTTAATATCGGTCTACCTTCATAATACGGATTACTCATCAATTCTTTTATCTTATTGAAGTAAAGATTAAGAAGATCCACCGATCCCATTATTTTCAAACCCTCGTCATTTTCTTCCGTCCATAGCTTTTCCAATGACATAGTTAAATTTAATTGTTCTTCCTTTTTATCAATATTAATGACCTTAACGAATAACATTTGATTTGCATGTATCATGTCAAAATTGGAAATCCTATTATATGGAACAAATCCATACTTTTTATAATTGTTGATAGGTAGTACAACCCTAACGCCGTCTTGTGCAATATCTTTAATCGAGCTCGGTATAGAATCTCCGACTTTGAGTTGCTTTAATTCTCGATGTTTTTCGTCCGTTAAAAATGTTCTGCTTAATAATAAATTTGGCTCGGTAGCAAATACTAATGCTGAAATAACATCGCCAGGTATACACTTTGACGCTAGAAGTCTGCCAATCTCGATGCACGGTGCCATATGACCAGCTGGTAAAAATCCTTCTTGGGTATATTCATCTTTATCTTTAATCTGCAAACGTATCCCTTCGGTAGAAGCTTCTATTATATTACCCTCAACGACCTGCCCAATCAATAATCCACTATTCTTCATATTGGCAATGTTACTAATTAAATTCAATTTCATTTTTCCTTCAGTTTCATTGACACTTTCGATGTATACCGCAATTGTTTGACCTATCGAGTAATTCCAATTTACAGAAGCAGTAGTTTTGTCTAAATATACGAATGGAAGCCAACCCTTGGCTTCTCCAAAAAATCTTATTAACAATCCATTCTTATTAATTTGAACGATGGTACCATGATGCCTTGTACCGCATTTAGCATTACTAATGTCTGACAAAATGGGCAAATTACTCTTTAACAATGATTCCTTCAATGTAAATTGTACTTTCCTTTTTTCTCGATTTATATTCAAAACTCTGGCTTCAATCGATTGACCAACTTTCAACGTTCCCATGACATTTGATCCAAAATCAGATATGTGATCGGAAGCAACGGTTCCAGTAATTCTTCCTATGCTGACGGTCATATAATTATTTTCAGTATTAATAGTTTTTATTTGTACGCGTAATATGTCGCCTATAGAAAGATCAGATTCCGTAAAATATTTTTCCTGCAATTCATCCTGTTGCATCGTGCATATATACATTTTCTCCATCCAATTATAGAACAATATTCTGCATTTATGCACGGAGTCAGGTATAAATTTATTTGTCATTTTATCGAACCCAATGTCAGTTCTGTGAAAGGATACAAAACCACGTGAACGGGAGTCTAACCTTAAGACGATACCGTTGGATTCCCGAAATAAGACGGTGGCCTTTTCAACGATCTCACCCCTATTCATTCTATTGTCACCTTCGTGTGACCATCCAGCCGTTTCTGTCATTTTCTTTGTAATTAAACTAAAATATCCAAATTTTACCGTTGGCATAATATACATTAACGTTCCATTTATCATGATATCCTCCGTATAAGACGACACACTTTTATCCATATAAATTCTATTTATATAACCTATATGTCCTTTGCCGTACGACACCTGTAATCCATTTGATAAAATCTTTCGAACACGAAGGGGAACCCTTGTTCCGGGTGTAAGAACATCTAACGATTCTATCTCATAATCGGCAACTTTATGAATTAATTTCTGTATGGTTGACAAATTAATGGTCGTAACATTGTTTGTCGTTTGCAGTTCTTTGATACAGCAAAATATCTGTTTACCTACAACTAATACATACCGTGCATGATATAACGTGCATGTAATAATCACAATATTTATATTGTTATTAATCAAGTAAAAAAAGTATTAAATGCGCCAGTTATAATAATACTTACAATATTTTTTATCCGCATCTATATCCTTAATAGATATAAATGCTCTTACATTTGGAATGCCTGTGTCTAAGATATAACCATGGTCCTCTACGCTGCTCACAGAACAAACCAATCTTGTACCAATAACCAAATACTTAATATCAACATTTTGATTTATTAAATGAGATTCCAGAGACAATTGTATATTCCATTTTCCATCCGCTTGAGTACTTTGAATGTAACATACAATATATTCTCCTATATCGTATAATTCGGTTAAAGGTTTATATTGAGACACCTGATTTACTTCTCCCCTGACTATACTTATTAATAAATCATTATATGATTTGCTAATATTAGGTGCTGTCAATTGGCCATTTAATCCGCCCGGTAAAGAAACGATTAATTCGTATTCTTTGACTTCGCAAATTCTTCCCAAGATCTTTAGACCTTCGCATAGCGTCGCATTAGATAAACGTTCAGCTGTACGAGCGATAAAGTTCAATTCCTCGTTGGATTCTTTAGCAACTTTTTTCTTCTCCTTTTTCTTTCCTTTTTTCTTCTGAAACACCTGTCAAAATATATTCATTTACTCCAAGTTGTAATAAAATTTTAGTAAAATAACGCCAAAAAACTTGCTTACTTGTACGGAATTTGTTATACTTTTACGTTTTTCACCTCCTCTTGGGAAACTTTGTAGAGTCATCTGAAAATTTTCCAAGGAAATAAGAAACTTTTGCAAATAACAGATTTATATGATATTAATCTGAATAAAATTCGGGATAACGTACCGTCACGAGAGAAGTTTATAAATCTATTATTATGACGCTTTGAATAATAAACAGATATGGAATTCTATTCTATCTATCTAAAATGTTAATTTGAAAAATTAGTTAGATCGCATAACCTTAACTCTTAATATATACGCACGTGCAAGTATGTATTTCCTTGCGTGCAAAAGAATTTTATATTCGTCGATTGAACGTACGTTAAGTTAAGCAACGTCGCTGGCGACCTCGTCGCGACTGTTACGCCTCCACCGGCAGGGCGCATAACTAACGGTGTCACCAAATGCACACACATCAATGAGATACACAAGATCCCGAGAAGATCTTTCAGAGACCACAAGCCGTAGCTCCTGAAAGTCATGAAGTCTGGTTAAACTACTGTATGCAATTATTACTCGATGCGTTCGATGTGTCACAGCCGAATCACATGGCTGCTTTTATGAGATTGTTCCATACGTCAACTGTTTACGTCGTCAATGAGAACAGCCATAATTTTTTACCGACTTTAATGAACAAGAATCTCATTCATACTCGAAGATGAACATTTAAACGAGGACATTTTTTGACAAAGTTTTTTTATTTTCTTAAAAAATAAAAATCTACTTGTCATATGATTTTCTTCTGTCAAATCTATTATTATTTTGAGTGTATGGGGAAAATGTTTGCTAAAGAAACTATGTGTTGGAGAAGGGGGGCAGCAGGGCAAATGTTTCACCATTGCACTTGTAGTTCATCTTTTGTCCATACCCATCGCCGAGGTCTCTCGCGACGAGCGAAAGATGGTGAATAGCCTTAATCGCGTTAGTTTATCTAAAGTCTCATGACATTATCGTATATAATATGTCTAAAGGATTTGTACATTCTGTAAAAGTTCCTAGGCTTTATAAAATAGCTTCGAAAATTGTACGAGATGTTCAAGAGAATGGTGCTAGTTTGAAAACATTAATTTTTTCCGAAAAGCATCCTGTAAGTAAATACGATAAAGAGTTATTCCGAATATCAAACTGTGCCCGTTTTTCGTCACTAAAGAATTTTTGTATTTTATCTTATTCGCATTGCTTTATGAGTCCGATAAAAGTTTCCTCGCATTATTATCGAAAGTATTAGAAAAGTAGTATTATAAACATATTATATATGTAATATACTTACTATATAGATTTTAAACTTGTTTCTGTAGAATGTATCTGGATTGTATGCTTTAACGTTAAATACCCTACAAAAAAGTGATCAATTAAACCAGCTTATTAATGAAACCAGAATACTTTTAAATGAACCACGTTTCGATCCTTGGTTAGCAAGAATTTTAATAACAGAACTTATTTGGGGAAAGCAACGTTTAACCGGCAATGCTAAACCTATTGAAACAGTATTAAATTACGAAAGTCGTTTACGCGATGCATTGAAGAATATTAATGCGTCCGACATAGCCATACCTCAGAAAACAGGTAAAAAAAATTTGAACCTCTTATTATTATAAGTGCATGTTTTTTGCAGAATTGGGACATATTTCTACATTGACTTCAATGAGATTATAAATCTGTATCGAGCGAGTTGGAAAAGTTTATATAATTTTATCCAAAATTGGATAAATAACCTTAAAAAAAAAAAAAAAAAAAAAAAGAAGCTTGTGCAAAAATCAAGAAAGGAATTGTTATTAAATAATTCGTTTAATTTCAATATATTAATTATGAGCCTGTTAACTACACTGACGACATTATTCTTGTATAGTACTGCGATGTTTACTCTGCCTTTTGCAGCATTTTTCGGTGTACAGCACGTTATGACGACTGAATTTCATACCGACAGATTCATCACGAATTGTATATCTGTTACAGCTGCTGTCATTACTGTGCATTTAATAATATTTTGTTACGTTTACAAAGCTTTTCACGAACCGGATGATGAATCGGACCCTAGTATCACTAGAAATATAAATGCATTAAAACAAACTTTTAATGCTAAAGAGGAATAATAATAATATATATATACATACATATGTGCGTGCGTGTGTGTGTGTGTGTGCGCGCGCGTGTGTACGCACACGCACTTGAATGGAAACAGATGTGTACAAAAATAAAATTGATAATAATCATACTTTTAACAATTTAGAAATAATTATTTATACATTATTTGTCGTATTTCACATTATATATATATATATATATATATATATCTTTAAATGTTATATTAACATGCTATGTTCACATAGGGAAACAAAGTTAAATCCTAAATATGAAAATAAATGCAGATCAATAATTGATTATGAGTATTGTTTGATATCCATCTAATATTTCAATAATATTACATTGGAATTTGCTCACATTCAGGATTTCAATGGAATAATAATGATCAACGAGGCAAACGTTTCTTCAATTATATCAATTGTATATTAGATCATTGACATTTTCTGTATTTTTTTTTCAGTATCGAAACCAAGATACGTTCGTGTAAATACTTTGCTGTTATCAGTTAACGATGCTATAAAAAATTTCGAATACGAAGGATGGTCTTTAGTGCTCGAATATACAGATTATTCATCTTATTTGAAATTAATTTCAAATTTATCAAAACCATATTTTACTAAAGATTATCACATACCCGAATTGCTTGTTTTTCCGCATGGTACATTATTTTTTAATCATCCAAGTTACAAAAATGGAGAACTGATACTGCAAGATAAGGTATTGTTCCTTTTTTTCTTCTTCTTCTTTTTTAAATCATAATTATTTAAATTATATTATCCTACAACTTAATAGTATACTTCTTCTTATATTTATCTCAGGCAAGTTGTCTTCCATCATACCTCCTAAATCCACCAGTTGGGTCTGTTGTTCTGGATATGTGTGCAGCTCCAGGGATGAAAAGCTCGCACTTGGCTGCCATATTACAAAATCGGGGGTATAATTTAACGCATCGATTTTATTTATTTGCAGTTATTCATAAATAGCAATGGGTCGATCATATAATAATTCACTGTTACTAGAATCGTTTATGCTATTGAAATTGAAAAGAGAAGATATCAAACGCTATGCGAATTATTAACAACAACTAATTCTCACTGTGTTCGGACTATGAACAACGATGCTTTGAGCATTTATCCAAGTCATTGTCCAAACGTTGAATATATTTTAGTTGATCCCAGTTGCTCCGGTTCAGGTAATAATTTTAAGCTTTCGGGATGTTTCAAAGTCTTAAAAAAAATTAACTTATGTGCAACTTGTAATCGTTTAACTCGACAATCCAGGCATTGTTGATAGACCAATAATGGGTAAGAAGGATGGTAAATATCAGCTAGGACGTTTAAAAAATTTACAAGCATTCCAAGTATTTCTTTTACGACATGCTCTATTGAACTTTCCATCTGTAAAAGGAGTCATTTATAGTACCTGTTCTATAAATCGAGAAGAAAACGAAGATGTAATAGATGAAATTCTGGCTAATGTCGGAGATGCTTATGAGCTTGTATCAATCGAAAGGTTACTTAAAAAGGATTGGATAAATTATAGTTCAGACGACAGCGGTTGCGAGAAAAAATGCATTTATGCTAAACCCCAAATAGATCTATGCAATGGTTTCTTCGTTGCTTTATTTAAAAGAAATTTTGATGTTCCTTTGCCGGCGTATATTCCTCGTACGTATGATACGTCTAATGAAGCGGAATGTGAAAGTTTAAATGAAAAGGAAAAAAAGGATAAACAAGAGAACGATGAAGACGACCGGTACAGCGGGTCATCGTCTAAGAAGAAAAAGAAACGTAAGAAAAGAAAACGCGCGGAGAAACTAGAGAAAGAATCCGTTGATCTTGAAGAAATTAACGACAGAGATGACGTTATTACTTCTGAAGGGTCATCGAAAAGAAAACATGAAAGTAATTCCAAAGGTATTTCGATGAAGAAATTAAAAACGTGACGACTAAAACCTGTATGTGAAAATAATAATGCTAAAGAATGTATGAAAGAAATAAAGTAAGAAAATTGAATCATTTTGAATATTTATTTCTTGTTTTAGTCTGTATACGATGTTATAATACAGGAGGATGTGCATTAAAAATATATTAACCTTGCTTCTGAGCAAGCTCTTTAGCCTTGGCTTTCTCCAGTTTTGCTATTCGAGCAGCAGATTTGCTACCTAACAAGCCACCTCCCCAGTGACGCCTAATCTCGTCCTGTCGATCATTGAAGTTCGTTTTGATGGCTTCTACTATTTTGGAGAAATTTGCTCTATCACCAGAATCGACCTATTGAGAAACAACAATAAAATAATAGAAATTAAAACGAGCGATAGAATTAGATTCATCTATTACCGCGCGCAATCATCATAATAAAATATGTCAGAATATTAAGTTGTTTTATATCATGATTTTTCATGGGATTGGCTCTTTTATTTTGTTATAATCATCATACACAAACTCTATCAGAATATATAGCATAATAGGATTTATCTAAATATATAAATATACATACCTGCGTAATAGCTACGACAGTGCAGGTTTTACGTCTAACTAAACGTCCCAATCTTGCCTTGCCCTTTACGATACAATATGGAACACCCATTTTACGGCACAATGCGGGTAGAAAAAGTACAATCTACTTGTCAAATGAAAATTAACATTTAGCATATCAATAAGTTATATAAGAAAGTAAAAAAAATGAAAAATTATATGGTATTATAAATTCTCAGAGTCATTTTTCATCTTGCTAATAAAATAGACATCGTCAGTGTCAGTTTTATTATCAGCTGAAGAAATTCTTACATCATACTAATACATACTGCTGCCTCATATAATAGAAAATATATTTAACGTTTGAACATACCTCAATTGGATCTACATCGTGCGCAATAACAACCAATTGGGCTTTCTTTTGTTCCACAAGGGTAGTCACGGTATTGGTTCCACTGCGTAATACATTGGGCCTCTTGGTGGGCACGTCTTCTTTTTTTGCAACCTTCTGCTCCGCTCTAGCTTTTAGTCTCATTTTTTTCATGGCCGCCGACTCTGGCCGATACTTCTCCAATATCTTGAACAACTGCGTTGCTATAATTTTATTTAACGTTGTACTCGTTTGACTATTTTTTTGTATAATGAGAGAAGAGAGTTTTAACGATTTTTCAATACTTTTACTTCTAACGTTAATGCCAACTTAATAAACGGAATATTGAATAATGATCAAACTAGTCCATATGTAAATACTGTTATGATACCTGTTTGTTTGTCTAAAGTTTGACTGAACTGATTGATCGGAGGTGGTACTTTCAATCTCTTTTGAAGGACAGCCCTTTGCCTCTGTATGCGTATGTATTTGGGCCATTTTACAAAACGACTGAGATCACGAGCAGGTTGAATATCCTGACCTATATAATGCGCATTTAAATATTACTCAAGTAATAAGGATTACCATATGTATTATAAAGATAATAACAGATGTAACTTACCGATACCAAAATTTCGGGAACGTTTTTCGAAAAGAGGATTAGTTACTTTCTTCGTTTCAACTTTTTTCACTGCTAGAGGTGCAGCAGCTACTTTCTTCCCTACCTTCTTCTTTGGCTAGAATTTTTACATTAAACAAATATATTTTATTAATTGTTCCAATGCGAAGATCTTTATCTCTTATCTGTTTAAAAAGATTGTTATTGGTGCTATTGAATATAAATATTTTCTTACGAATAATTTTGTTTGGTTATATCGGACGCGTAAAAAAAGGTTAACTGTATGAAAAAGAATTCAATAACATTGAGAGATGCAAAAAATATAAACATTCTATGGTGACAAAATATTTTTACCTTCTTTTGAACCATTTTTCTAGCAAAGGATCAAACGGATTTCCTCTAATATTTTAGGATATAAAATACGGTTCCTCAAGGAACATGCCACTTTCTAATGTCGAGCGTGTAAAAAGAACGTAGCTACTGTAGCGCCACTTTGGGTCGCGCTCAAACCTACATAATGGTAAATACCAACTTTTGGAATACGTTAGTCATCGATGATCGATCATCCAATAGTTTTTCGTTTGCATTAAAAATACTTACGCTATGCAATTTGCAAATATTTAAATCGTTAATTTACGATATCCTTAACAATCCTCATTTTCCACCTTTCTCCATAATATATTTTATTAATCGATGTCAAATCATACAAAAGTGTTTCCTACGTTTTCAACAGTTCTTTTTATTTAATTCACGGAGTACATACATACATGTATATATATATATATATATATATATATATATACACGCGCGCGCGCACGTATGAAAGAATAATTAAGCTTTCGTTAAATAAAAGCATGTTAATATCAAAATCATTGTTACTCCAATTTAATATCCTGAATAGTGAAAATATGTCGTGAGATAAGTTATTCATTTGATTGCACTGACACGGCTATAATGACAATGGCGTACGTATCGAATGGAGTACGTCTTATCGAGAAGTGATATCGGTGAATTAAGTGTTTTGATACAAAAAAGTGTCGTTGATGCGCATATAATTCGAAATAATAACAAATACTTTATCAAAAGTAGTTTTATTTTAATAAAAGAAAGACGTACTTTTTATTTATTAAGCATGATCATATGATGTTAATGCTAACGCATTACTGTTTGCGGCATCGTTTGTTAATGCAAAGCATTTCAAGAATTACATAAAAGTATTGGTATTTATGAAGATAAAGTGTAATTGAAAAAGAAAAAAAATCAAATATGGCCAGTCTTGTTTCTTCAAATATTGAATTTTATCAATTATCTATAGGTGTGAATCATTGCAGTATTGTGCCAAGTCGATCATTTCATTAAAAAGAATTTCTTTAAAAAATATTTCACACTAGGAGTCTCCTCCCATGGGATAGCTGTATTTAATTTCGATATCTCAAGAATTAAAGGTATGCCATCGATTTTCTTTTCAATCACTTTTTTTCCTTTATTAAGTATTTTAATTTTAATCGTTTCATAAATTATTTCTTAAAAAATATCATCACGTAATAGTATTGCAATGACTCTATTATCATGTTAACAATATGAAATTTATTAATAAAATGAATAAAATTTATATACAATAGGTAATCTTTGATAAAAATCATTTTTGCTTCCTTATATATCAGCAGAATCTTTATAAATTTTATCGAAGATTCTCTGCTTCTTTAGTGGTAAATATTAACGAAAGAAAAATGAATTGTAGAAGTTGGATATATCGTGTATCAAGATAAGATTGAAAGCAAAAACATAGACATAAAATTTTTATAATTGTTTTTTTTTTTTTTTTTTTTTTTTTTTTTTTTTTCTTTTTTTCTCTTTTTGCAGATGATCGGCCGACGTTGTGCTCTACTTGCCCTAGGCGCCCTTTTGATTCTTGTGATTACTGCAAACATTTATTTTATTCGTATAATCGTAGAGAATTCTTCACAAAAGTCGCAATTCAAAAATTTACCTTTGATCGAGGAAAATTATCTTCTAGGGCATTCTGCGTCGTCTTTGCGCAGAAATGAGAATGGCAGAAATTTGCAAAAATCCGTCGGTCAAGGTATCAACGAAAGAATTAAAGAGGAGATAGAAATATTACCTTCAAAGTATTTTAAACAAAATACGAGTTATTTGATCGTACTCGAACGGCTATTGTCCGAATTGAAGGTTATGAACAATGCGCACGAGGATATATGGAGTATCCCTAATAACAATGTTAGTTCTATTTGTCATAATATTTATTGTCAATAGCTTAACATTACGTTTACGATAATTTTTCATGTATAAAGATATTGGATGCTGATAATTCACACGTAACGTCGTGTGTATAGTGGCCTGATGCTCACCAGTTAATTCCGCCATCGGCTCCAGAATTAGGGACTATACTCGATGCTTTAAGGAAAGCAAAGGTAAAACATGCCGACAATGCTGTCCTTGGTACACAATTGAAACTTATGCTGACATTGGAGAATGGTGCAAAAGCTGTATTTAAACCGCAATGGTACTCTAGAGATACTGTTATTCGTGGACCGGTTTATTATGGAAAAGATCGTCATAATGCAGAAATCGTGGCATTTCATTTATCTTCGTTACTTGCTTTACGAAGGGTACCCCTAGCCGTTATTCGAAAACGTATGATAAATAAAATCTGATATATTTCTATAATGTCAATCTGGTAACGAACGGTTGGACTAATAATGATTGTTAATTCGTTACGTATTTCAGTTGATCTTAACAATGAGATTCGCAAGCATGCAACACCGGAATTATATACTACTATGTATCAGGAGGGTAATGATACGTGCTTGTATGGTGTTTGTCATTACTGTTCTTCCACCGATCCAGTTTGTGGGATAGGAGATGTCTTAGAAGGTGCATTGATATTTTGGTTACCACGTTACTTGCATCTCGTAAAACATCGACATCCATGGCAGAGAACGTATAAGAAAAAAAAGCTTGCACCATGGGAGATTGATGATAATTATTGCGAGAAGGTGAATTTCGATTATACATCATATATTTCTACGTAGAAAAACGATACGATCTACGTCACCGTCATAGTGCTACGGACATACATTCATTCTAAACGATGATATCTATATTTTTACACAAGGTCAAAGAATCTAAAGCATACTCACCACAATTTTCAAGTAGGCTATTGGATCTAATAGATACAGCAGTTTTTGACTTTTTAATGGATAATGGTGATCGGCATCATTATGAATTAGCGCAAAACAATTTTCACAATCCTGCTGTATTATTGATAGACAATGGGAAGAGTCTTGGTAATCCGGACATTGATCATCTTGACATTTTAGCACCGCTTTATCAGTGTTGCATGTACGTATAAGAATTTTTTGACATAATACGGTTGTATTGAGATTTGCAGATGGATTTTAACATTTTTTATTTTAGAATACATAAAACTACATGGGATCGTTTAAAGATGTTCACTGGTGGTACTCTGAGTTTGTCATTGGAAAAGCTTATTGCTCGTGAGACGATAATGGCCGATGTTCTTCCGCTTATTTCAGATGCACATCTTAGTGCTATGGATAGAAGGCTTCTTACCATTTATGCTGTCGTTGAATACTGTGTAAAGAATAAGAGATATGTTTCTAATGTAATTCTAGATCATCGGTAGTATGAACTAAGAAATAACATGTAATATAAATTAATTATCTGATTAATTACTTATGATATTAGAGTTTGATTTGAAATAGTAGAAGAATCTTGCAGCAGCTATGTATAATAAATTTGATAGTTATGCACACACACACACACACACACACACACACACACACACACACACACACACACACACACACACACACACACACACACACACACACACACACACACACACACACACACACACACACACACATGTACGTATGTATGTATGGTGCATTGTTTTGTATATTGTATTTTACACAAGATATTTTAATCGACGAAGAAACAATTGTTTTGAATGATGTGTAAAATGATTTAATGCTAGAAGATTAGAGTTTAATGTGGTTTATTTTATGTCACAATAATTACCATTATTTGGATAAATTTTGAATGTAGCGCCGTACAGCGTATAAATACGGTACAAACGTAAAAAACCTGTTAATACGATTGTATAATCGTTAACATACTTTAAAGTTCGTGTCACAGATTGGGATCTGAGAATATTCTCAGTTCGATAACATGTACAATATGTATAGCGAATGTAACTCGTGGTACTTGTCGGGATTTGCAGTAAAGAGAAACTTGTGGGAGCGAAACAAGCTACAAGTCAGCGTAATGTTGCAGCATTTGACTACTTTACTTTCAGTTACCACAAGACTTTTCTCGTAAGCTTATGATACCAAACTTTGAGTCAAGTTTCCACATTAGCTCCTTCCCCCGCAACGTCGTCGCACAATATAACCCTTATATACTTTATTTACAACATTACATGACCAGAATTACTCACATATCTTATCGAATAATTATTCAGTTTTTGTTCATAATACATATTTAGCGCCATCATTCGCGTATGCATCGTGTATATGTATATGTCAGGCGCATGCATGCGTGCGTGCGTGCGTGTGTGTGTATGTGTGCGTGTGTGTATGTATGTGTGTGTGTGTGTGTGTGTGTGTGTGTGTGTGTGTGTACGTGTACGTATGCGTATATCCGAGACGTACGTGTGTGTATATTATATATAGTAACATTTTTTTGTTTTTTTTTTTATAATTAAATAGAGCTTTCGTAGCAAAGTATGTATAAATAGACTATCCTCGCGCGCACGATTATCTCGAATTTGCTTCGCGTTCTCGAGTGCGAAACAAATACATATATGCTGCATCGAACCATCCGTCCATGAGATCCGTCTAAGAAAACACAGATTATAGATTACCTGAAAATAGTGGACGAGTGGAATAGCCAGACTTTGCCATTCCTACATCTTCGCTTAGTCCATATTTCTACGTTCTATGATAATACTGTATACCAGCAAAACTTTTGAGTATATCACTTTTTTTTCTTTATAGGCTTTACTTGCACGACTCTCGTATAACAAATCGATCATAGAAATGCATTCGTTCAAAAGAAATTCGTACTTCGGTAACGGCAGCATTGATTATTGCATGGAGACGGTACGATTTATCTCCGTACGATTTATCTCTATTCGAGAGAGAGAGAGAGAGAGAGAGAGAGAGAGAGTGAGAGAGAGAGAGAGAGAGAGAGAGAGAGAGAGAGAGAGAGAGAGAGAGAGAGAGAGAGAGAGAGAGAGAGAGAGAGAGAAAAAATCCCACGGAATTATCTCCTTATATTTGTCATTTATACTTATTCAATTAAATATCACACCAAAGTGCTCGATGCACGTAGAACTTAGATATAGGCCAACCATAGGTACTAGAGATGTTTTTAAATGTATATGAGACATTATTTTGCATGCAAAATTTAAATTTAGTTACTTGGAAGAATGAAAAAAGATCGAAAGGAAATAAAGAGAAATTAAAAGAAGAAAAAGGGAATTGAAAGTCCCTGCACGATAGTCGTATCATACACAGTTATTGGATTGGCCGAGAATATATAATAATATTGGTATGATTATACATTAATTAACATTATTAATTTTCACGTCGGAAATGTGTGCCGCATCGGGATACGTTATGCGGCACTTTTTTCGTAGAAAAAAACTTTTGCAATCACGTAGCTCATTTATCGCTCACCCATCGCTCACCCATCGCTCACCCATCGCTCACCCATCGCTCACCTTCCGGGGTCTTGTTCTGTTGATTATTACTTGACCTACAATTATCTCGATAATTTCATAATCATCTTGTTACGATGGTTTCCTAAACGTTCTCCCGTCTAAACAATATTCTCGAGTCGTATTTTTTATTTCAGAGCGCGGATTCTACGCCTCTCGACGATGACGTCGAAGAACTGAGATCCTCCGAATGTCGAGTATGAGACGAATCGAGCGAAGTGACGGAATCGCTGTCATTGCTATGGGGACTCGAATAATTGGCGGCTTCCTGAAGTCTCATCAGCATGTTCAACTGTAAAAGAGAGAAAAAAAGGAGGCATGTGTAATAGGAAGGATGGTGGTATCGCGTAAAGCCTTTCGCTAATACAAACAAGAGGATCTCCTTCGGTGTCGCTGTGTGTACTGCCGAGGCTCTTTACGCTGGACGCACCTACGCCCGAGGTATGTCCGGAGGTAACGACGTCGTAACCAACGTCCTCGGGTCTTAACCGAAGAAGAGCGTCGCTACCATCGTGTACAGCGTGCGTAGAGATCCACGGATAACTGGAGGTAATGAATTGTGCAGGATCTTCCCATGTGGATTCGCCATTTCCACTTCCGCTTGCTCGCCTTCCATATAACGTTAGGCCTTCCCTGACAGCCTCAACCAGATACGGTATTACAGAATAGTTCCACAAATCCGTGAACCAAACTTGAGAACCTGCCACTTCCATGGGGCAAGAGAGAAAAAGTCGAGGGCCTAAAAAAAAAAAGTTCGCGTCTCTCGTGATAATAATGAAATTAATTAATTAGTATTCGTTCTATAAGTAGCGATCTTACCTATCGTTACGTCGGAACTGCTGTGCGTTTCTAGGAACTTATTAAGATGTAGCCAGACGCGTGGGAGCCATTCTACGACAGCTGCCATTTCTGCGTTTCTCGTGCCACCCGATTCACGTAATTCGTGTTCTAATAGCTTACGCCTGAGGTAACGGCCCAAAAATCCCTTAACCGGTTCCATGTGATTGGCGCACAGTACCCACCTAGGTAGATTTGCGCATAATTAATATGCGTAAACTCCTTATTATTTCCAGAGAAATAAGACGATTTGATATATGAGAAGCTTTTGCATTTCGTTTACCTAAAGTTATGATGTAATTGAAGATTCGTGGTGCTGCAAGTAGCCTGACTCATGGTTCCAATAATCGCGGGACAGGACGAGTGTCTTGTACCGAGAAGACCACTGAAAAGTTCACCGAGAGAGGCGGCATGTTGAAGATTCTCCAAGATTATCACTCTCGGCAATTCGTCGGCCGCATTAGAGTCGCATCTTTCGGCGATATGAGCGAGATATTGCTTGAGTTCTTTGCTCGACTTGTGATCGACTATGAAGGTGGCCACGGCAGCCGCGTCTTTCGAGTCCGTATCGGCGTCCACGAGAGCGTGAGCCAGTTTTCCTGCCAAGTAACTTTTTCCGGTACCGCTAGGTCCGCAAAGGATGACTCTGCGATGTTCCGTTAACAGGGATATTAGTCGTTGAACGATAGAGCGTGGTATCAGAGTGTCAATCGCGAGCCAGGAGTAACCCGAGAGCACCAGATAAATAGTTTTCACGTGTCCTATCAGATAACCGCACGGTAGTAATTCCGGGTGCTGAGAATCCGTCGTACATCTGTTGAAAGGAACGACATATATATATGTGTGTGTGTGTGTGTGTGCGTGCGTGCGTGCGTGCATGTGCATGTGTACTTAGTAGATTATAAAATCGCTTCGAGACAGTTCTGTTTGCTTAATAGAACGACGAAACGAAAGAGATTTATCTAACCTCGAAGCTTCACCGAGATGATAAGCTGCGACACAGTCAACGCCGAGACCCAGATTCGTGACGGGATCGACCCTCGATACGTATTCCTTGAAGCATCGTCGTACGATCGAGTCTAGAGCATCCCAGCTCGTTTTGTTACTGATGCAAACGTTTGCGATAATGCAATGCGGAGGCTCGCCGATGATGCCGCTGTCCGAATTATTACCCGATATTAGATTGTAATTGAAATTTTTTTCGCTCCCGAGATAGACGGCAACGTTAATTCTCTTTCCGTCAGTGTCGTGGTCTAATGCTGGCTCGCCGCTCGTAGCCGAAGTCGCCGATGGTACGACCGAATGTTCGGGCACGTTGAGATCTTCCAATTGATCGGCAGTCGAACTGCTATCGCCATTCGAAAGGGCAGCAACGCTCGAGGCCACCTCCGTCATGCTGAAACGCCTATCGGGATCGCTCGGTAGAGACGACTGAGAGGACGTAAGAGATTTCGAAGTTACCAGCCGCTGCAGGCGTTCGTTGTTTTGCTTCAGATTGAGCATTTCGTTCTGTAAAAAGGACACAATCATCGATTGATATAAATGATCGCGAGCGATTTTTCGCCAAGCTCGAAGATAACTTACTCTCATCTTGATGACCGTGTCCTTCAATGATTCCAATTGATGGGCCGAGGAGAGTGCCTCCAATCTGATATCCGTGAGAACGAGATCCTTTTCCCTGAGTTGTTTCTTCAATTCATCCACATCCTCGTCCTCCTTCTTATAAAGAGCCGAGCTACTCTTGCTACCGGTCAGAGGATTTTCAGGCTCCGGTGATTTTTGTCCGTTGCTCCTTGCTCCAGCACTTTGATTCCTCGCGGTTTCGTGTTTCGAGGCCGTCGGTAACCTCGGACTATTTGGGACGCTCAATTCTCCGCTGGCACCGTCCTTACAATCCTCGGCATCAGAAACGGAACCATGCCTGTTCTTTCGCGATCTGGAGAATGCTTTCGAAAAGGAGCTACGCAACCAACCCTTCTTCTTCTGATGGCTACTACTCGCGGAACAAGCGCTGCTCAGGGAGTTGAGAGAAGTGACGCTGTCCGCCGACAGCTGTCTTGCCATCGATGCACCCTGATGATGTCCCCCGTTACCACCGCCGCCGCCGCCGCCGCCGCCGCCACCACCGCCACCGCCGCCGGTGCATCCTGTATTGCCGGAATCCGAATCACCGAGAGTGTGCCGACGACCATTGTTGCCTGATCCCCCGTTGTTCAATCCAGCCTCCGCGCTTTGCTTTCGAAGCCTCTCGATCGTTTCACGTAACTCTTGTAATTCGGAATCCTGTACAAGAGGCATATTAGGAACGGACAAAAATAAAACAAATTTTCACTTTATAAACTTAAACAAATCTATCGTTTTATCGAATCATCTTAATTATTCCTTATCCGCGATACCGCCATTCGTTCCGCGAACGGGTGAGGATTCCTTATTGTGACAACAGGTGCAACTATCCGAATGACTAATTACGGAATCGTTACTCCAAGAATCGGCTATGCTAAATAATTGTCTCATCGATTTGGAACTCGCTTCCTGACCGATGAACTTGTCCGATTTGTCGAGTTCCTTTGTCGTCGGCTTTTTTCTTATCGTCAACGATTCCCCGACATTGATATTTCGATAGAAAGTCTTTGGTGCTATATTAGGAATCAAATTCTTCTTCATTCTTAAATTATTATCCTCCTTTTGGAAGACTTTTTGCGACGAATTCTTGACGGTTGTCGTAATACGCTTTTCGTAACACGTCCTGTCGTTCAATTTTTTCGAGTTCTTTGACTTGCTCGATCCCTCGATCTCCTTATTACCCGACACCACCCTATTAGACTTTTCGACCGCCGTTCTACCATTGTTTTTCAATATCAATCCTTTGGATTTGAACGAAGACGACGATGTCGGAGTTGAGTTTTTATTCGCGGATAACGCGTTTGATTTTTTGCTGATCGCGTTAAAACGTGGCACTTTATGGTCCATCATTCGATCATTCGACGATTCGGTTAATCGACCGTCGAAACATCGTAATTTGCGATTTTTCTTTTTTTCTTTGGAATTCTTCTTATTTCCTTTTTCTTTCTATTCGGTGCGAATTAATTAGCCGGCGTGACTTTTCAATTTTAATAGCGCATCATTGGGAATGAGATTTATAAAGGTTACTTAACGTTCAACGAGCTATCGACATAGATATTATGTCCAAGGTTGCAAGGAGGTTGCAACCTTTCTTTATTAACATTTTGACAAATGCATCACTGAAGATGCGCCAAATTTCATACTTTTCTCGGTATTACCACGACGACAACAACTTTGAAATTTTTACGTCTGGCATCTTTGACATTAGAATTGCGTTCGGATATCGAGCGTGTTTTGTCTTTGTTGAAATTCGTCGACGAATTAGAAACCTTATATTATAGATAAGCAAAGGTTGTACGAAAATTTACCGATCATTTACCAATGCTTACCTTTTTTTCAGCCGTTGCCGTGAGTTGCTGCAATCGTTGCGTCATGTTCGACAGGGATTGTTCGAAGGCGGACACGACATGTGCCTAAAACAAAACAATTAATCATTATCGATTTAAAGTATGTTTTCATTCGTCTGTCGTGTCTAGACGTTTATTATGTCATGACTTTTCTATTACTATATTTTTATATATTGCTATTAATATACGCTGACAAAAATAAGCCTATTTCAATTTTATTCCTTATCTTACTAGCTCGTGGCAATAGAAAATCCCAGGCGTAGGACCGTCGTCGACCTGCATACATTGGTGCGTACTATACTCGCTGACTAAAATAATAATAAGCTACGATATTTTACGCACGCACAGCCTTGGAAAAGAGGAAACAGCCATTGTCATTGCCATTGATCGTCAATGATCGACGGCGATACGGCGAAAACGGTAAAAGAAATAATTGCAAATTGGTGTGTGCGTGCGTGAGTGTGCGCGCATATAATACGGTATACATATGTAATTATAATAACATCTAATGGAATAGAAAAGTTACTAAATGACTAAAATCATTATTTTGAAATGTCCATAGACTTTGACAAAGGTGAAAGTTGACTTTTTGAAAAAAAAACTACAAATAATTCGCCGCACACAGGTAAGGTTCCAATGTGTTATTAAAAGTAGACTACCTGAGATTAGATTAGATTAGATTTTACAAAAGAACGTTTGTCGACTTTTGTAAGAAAAAAAAAAAAAAAAAAAAAAAAAAAAAAAAGAAAAAAGAAATAGATTCTTATGCGTTTCGAGATTCGCTTACGAACGCTTATCGCGTTCACAAGATCTCGGGAGGGGGGGGGGGAAGAATCGTTGTGTGTTGCCTTATTGTATACGGAGCTTAATGAAAGCCGCGAGCGAGTCGTCGAATAGTACTAAAAACTGGACCGGAAACCTTCGGCAAAAACGGTAGATGCCGATGATAGGAGCAAAACGAATGGCGGTGCATAGTGAGACGCCTTGTTCGCATCTAAAACGTAGCGAGAGCTCGTACCGAGCGAGGGGCGAAAAGAAACGAGGAGCGCGCATCGTTTACGGGATTAACCTCGAACGCGAGTCTTTGAGATTTCAGTTCGCCTTCGATGTACGATGAAGAAACACGACGAAACACTTTTACGAAAATACGTACTGATTTTTTATCAACGTTTCATTAGATAGGCGAATCAATATTTCGTTCGGATTTTTAAAAGAAATTTTTATGCCGTACGGATCGAGAAGGATCAGTACAGAGAGGACGTATCGTGAGACGAACGAGGCATATTCCTTGAAGCGTTACGAGCCGTGCCAAGACATACAAGATTACTCGCTGCTGCTAAGTCCCAATCAGACGCAACCGTACGAGTTCTCCTTCATAGCGCTATACACGTCATGGGGGCTCGCTCTCGTGTACGTAGGATCACGCCGGGGAAACTATCCGCAGGAAATGATATTTCAGTGTCGACAAAAAGAATGCAATTAGGACAACGCGAATAAATACGCAAAATCTCTAAAAAAAAGATGCAAGTAGACATATATGCAGATAATGTGCCTGTGTTAGGAAGGGAGGATCCCCCTTAGAAATAGCTGGGTAAAAATTCTTTTTTACACGTCTTTCCGAAGGACAATCCGTGAAATCGAAGGGTCTTAAGACGCCTTCCACGATTCGGACCTAAAGTTTTTCTCAGAATAGACTAGATAATAAGGCAAGTCCCTTCGGACGGGTGAAAATTCGAAACGAGAACCGGTAGAGATATCGTTCATATATGAGAAACGCATTTGAGTTATTCGCTTAACGGCTTGAAAAGCTCATATTTTTATTTTCAAGTCAAATCGATAATTCCATAATTATTCCTTGGCGATCGAAGCATTTAAAGATATTCTATTCTATTTACCGTTATTTAAAGTCCTAGTATTATCCATCAGGGCCGTTTAATCGAATAGCGATCGAATAGAAATGGGTCATTTTCTCGTTTACCTGAAGAGAAGGACAACTCCGGTGTCTGTACTTCCTCGTGGCAAGTTCCCACCAGGGTATCACGTTATCCGTACTCCGTGGCTTAACCGGATCGCTAACGGCGTGCTCGTAAAGCGGTTCGAGCAACGTCACGTTCCCGGATAGACGCCTGGGAGAGTCATTGGAAACCTGATCCCTGGATACGCTTCCTCTTCTCGGCAAGGTGGCGAAAAGTGCGTGCCGATACTTTCCAGACTCATCCTCGTTATGGTCCAATTTGAAAGAATCGTGTCTGGTCCGGGAATTAAGTGGGAGGATCGTTGGCGAAAAATTATCAACCGCGGACAGATTCAGACGCGATCTCTCGAGTTGCCCTCTGAGAATGACGTCGGTGGCATCGATCGAATATAGAGAATCTCTCGTAAAGTAAGATCCGTCGCTAACGTCGATACTGCTGGAGCAGGCTCTGAAAGAGGGCTCGATCTTTTCGCGAAACGTCCTATCGAGTACATCTTCGGTGGATTTGTGAAGAGATCTACCGTTCGTTCTCTCCTTCGATCTTCTATACGGTAGAGTTCCGTATTTGTTCTCGTCGAAGTTCGCCATGAGGGCGTCGTCCTCCCGAGCGTAGAAATACGACCGAGCCGCCGGCCCATTAAAATCGAGCACGTTAAATCGATCAGGATTTTTTCCCTTTTCCAGATTACCAGATGCGTTCGGCGATAGAGTATTTTGACAAGGTGGACACCGAGATATCTCGAAGGAACGATCGTCCTCGTTCGACGAGATTTCGTCGTCCTTCGACTCGATGCCGTCCGATGCCGATTCGCTAGGATTTCTTTCCACGAGGAGAGAGGGGACTTTCTCGTTTCTCGTCGGAGCCTCGTCGATGGCATGAAGGGAGTCCGTAGACTTGGTCGAGGACGTCGTAGTAGATCCGGTCGAGTGTCTCGAGGTACTTGACAAAGAGGAGGATCTGACCGAGGGACTGGGCGGGATCTTCCTACGTGTACCCGAGGAGGTGTGCCGTATAGATTTCGTTGTTTCGAGCCTTCGCTTGTCGCGGCGGAACGGCTCGTTCTTCTCGACGAAATTCTCGGCGAAATTCTCGACAAAATTCGGTGAGATCGGTGGCATAGGTACCATACCACCCCTATTCCTAAGGTAACCAGAGAGATCGTCGGACAAACAAAGGAGCGTCTCGTTCCTCGCCGTCTTGTTGATCATCCCGTAACTCGTGCGGCTCGACTTGTCCGATACTTCGTAACTCTTATCGATCCCGGCTATATTCTTATTAACGTCTTCGATGTATTTTATGGTGGTACGATATAGGTCTCCGCTCTGAACATAATTTCCATCTACAACGACGGCTCGACGATCGCGTCTGGTCCGAGAGGAGGAAGCGTTGTTAGGCAGGGCATAGATGGGTTCGCTCCCCTCGGTATCATCCTTATCGAGCAAACCCATCCCTCCGAAGTCGGCTCTTGCCTCTAAAAGACGCGACTCGGGCTTCCGATTGGCAACAACGGCGGCGGATCTTTTCAACCCGGCCGTTTGGACGATCTTAGATCTTGAAAGGGCGTTGTGTCGTACGATAACGCGCCTAGCCGATCTATCGTCGATAGGAGAAAACGTTCTCAACGTTCGCTCCCTATCAACGTATTCCTCCGTTCTATCGAGGAATCCTTTATTATCGCTCTTGTTGCACCTCTTCTCATCGACGATCACGCAGGAACGACTTCTTCGTACATTTCGAGGCTCCTTCCGTCCACCATTCTGATTGGTCAAAGTTTCTCGTTCCTGGGATATCCTGCGGAAGGTTTTCATAACCGTACCCCTCGTCGTATCGTTCTTCTTCGACGCAACGCGCAATGTCCCGTAAGTCTCGAGAATCGTCTTTCCATTGTTCACCCAACGAACAGGGTCCGAGGTTCGATGGACATCGTCGTCAGTTAAATTCTTACCCGAAATACGAAGGCGCGAGCCTAAAGCGTAAGGATCACCATCACCGTTCACTTCCGCGTCCTCCGAATCGTTAATAGGACGTGGTCTGTTCCGACCACGTGACCTTATCGTCGCGTAACCGTCGTGAACATATCTTCGCGAACATACCTTCAAATCCATCGTCGACGGATCGAGATCGTTCGAGAGTCCACCTTAGTAAAGTCCTTATCATAATTTCCTCCTAATCTTCTTGTACTCGATGCTAATAAATAATACGTTCGTATTCTCGATCTTCGTCAGATAGCTCTCGTCCGAACGATGGGATCTATTGTAATAATAGGGAAGAAATAATACGCAAGACGGAGTACGTACGACGTCGTATTGCGTCGTATTATTACACGTTCTTCTGAACGAACGATCGATTAAAAATCTATCTCTCTTATCATTCCTTCCTTTTCGTTTGGTTTACACTCGTCCTATCCCCTTTGCTCTAGAACTCAACGCGGACTAATTCCAAGTAACATTAAAATTGTAATAGGATAGAGGTCTTGGATATAACAAGACTCCCTGACCCAAATCGATCCTCGAGTGGCTCGCGTATAGCGTAAACGGCCGTAGGCGCGCTACGGCGATGATAAAGACGACTCGTCCGTACTTGGCGCGTAAGATCGAAAGAGAATGATTAAAGCCATCTGCCGTACTATGGCTACTATCTCGTCGGATGCTTTTATTATAGGCAAATTTTAACGACTTTTACCGATAAATATCGAAACTAATAATTTCGTTTTCGGCGATTCGAAGTTGTCCTTTTGGCAGAAAGGAGAACGATAAGGATAGGTGCGATATGTATAACGATATGTATAGACGATGGAGCGTAAGGTGTGACCGCACCGAAGGTGCAACGACACCAAAGCTTCTCCTACCTACTCCAACTCCATCATTTGACGCACCTGCCTACCGTGTACTTCGGGTACATCGACCACTACTTTTGGCAACTGCCCGATCTGAAAGATCTCTTCCCTCGGCTATTCGTTCATTTCTATCGCTTATAGTTTTGCCATCGATACGCGCCGTCAATCGAACGCGCCCTTTTTCTCACGGATTTCTCTAACGGATTTCTATCCTTTGAAAGATAGCAATATCAACAACGAAATTCTATCGTATT